TTGAGATCACAAACTCAACCAGGGCATGCAATTCTTACTGCTCTCAAGGCAAGGCTTGGCCATTTCACAAAAGATGCTTTTGAGATTGCAGAATTGATCTGTGATCTGGATTCCTTATTCCTGCAGTCTTATTTTATAATTTTACTAATACTTGCAGTTGAATTGTCCTAACAGATAGCTTTGGAGTGACTACCATTTTCTTGGTGATGTTGTCTCTTGTTCTAGGAAGCTAAGGGAACTGTCTGGTTGAGAGCTGGAAAAGCCATGAGCAGTGCAAGGTATTGCTGATAACCATATTGAAGGCAAAATTTAATTAAGATTATGCAAAGGTCAGCGTTATTAAGTAAGCTGCAGCTGTTCATGTCAAGAAAAAGAATGGGCACGGTGACAGTGGTGACAGGGAAGGGCGCGTGAGCTACAAGGAGTGGCACATTTTGGTGTAACGTTCTGGCAGACAGTAGATATAGTTCACATGCTTTAAGAATTACCACAATCACTCTCAAGAATCAGGCGTAATCCACAAGAAGGGCACAACCAAATGAAATACTTTTCAGGAAACCAGTTCAGGTTTCCTTGAACTAGCGCTGTAGGTAGGTAAAGGGCTGCTCCAAAGCACACATAGCCCCAGTATACTTTCCCAGTGGGTTTGCCTGTGCTGTTAATAGCACTGACCTATAAATCTGAACAGTCTTCTAATCACGAGTGTTTCCTGAACACCCAGTTTGTTCAATATACCCAAGGCATTATCTTTTCTCTTCCTGCAAGTCCTTGGCTGGCTCTAGCAGGGCTTACCTGAATGGACTTTTGCCACAGACTATGAAAATAAAACTTCATACCAAAATATGTTTTACATATCAGTAACCAGGAATACTCCCAAAGTTGGGACACCCCATTTTTAAATGCCAGGAAGGTATGAACTATTATAATCTTGACAAGGTCAGGAAAAAAAGGGGTTTCACAGGAGTGTACAGAAGGAACACACTTATGTTTTCTACCTAAAGAATTTTTGACCACTGGGGATAAGCATGTGTTTTGGGACCTTTAACAGAGGGCAGAACTGGGAGGAGATAAGATTATAACTCTCTAAACCATAGTTTGTGTTAGAAGTTAATGATTTTTCTACCAAGTACCAGCTCAGATTTGCTTAAGGAGAGAATACTCTGACTTTTGAGCACTTGTCTGGTAGTGTAACTGCTGTTGTTGTGGATACGGAACCTAGGTAGGAACCTCTTGAATATTTGTTTTGTTTGTCTTAACCTTAAAATGTTGCCATTTACTGTTTGCAGCAAATGAACGTTGCCTGTATAGTACTAGTTGCATTTCCTGTGTCCAGAACACCAGTAACATTCCTGTTGTAAATGTTAATGTTCTAATGATGGCATCGTACATTTGTATGTGTGTCTCTGAACAGTAAGCATCATATGCCATGAGCAATGCAAGCAGCATTTAGACCTGCACAGTACTGTGATATTCATTTTTCATATTGCATTAATTTAAAAGTTCTTACTATGATTCATTAATGTATTTAAAAATCAATAAGACAATTGAATTAGCACTGCAATTACTGTAAATCAATACAGTTCCATAAGCTATTGGGTGAAATCCGGCTCTTGATTTGTGGTATAGTAGTCTATTGGATGGTATCATGGCCCCCGGGAGTACAACTGCAGTGAGAAACAGCCCAAGGACTTACAGTGTCTGTGTTGGATTCTGAAAATTCCTCAAACACCATTGTATTTTCCTTTCAGAAGAATATACAAAATCTGTAGCAAACTATTGTCTTGACCTTTGTAAACTGATTATTGGTTATTAATACTAAGATGCTTAAATTGGTGCTCTTATTCAATATGATTTGCATATAATTATGGGGTAGAAAACCAAGCTTGAATTTTTTTAATGTTCTTTAAGGAATAGACCTACCTAACAGGCACAGAGTTAGGCCATGATCTAAGGTCATACACCTTGAAGCACTGAAGAAGTCTGTAGCTGTCCTTTCCAAGGCTGGTTGCTGTACCCTGGAATGGGCTTGCAAGGTGCTGCATGCTTCCCATAATGCTGTGGAAGCTCTCAGCTCCCACCAACACAAATGATCCACACTAATTATTAGTTAAGACCCTTGATCTTCCCCCATCCAAAGTGTTTCTCAGAAGAGACTGTAATTGAGCACAAGACCAAACAAGTGTAACTAGCAGTTTTACAAATGCAAAAGTGAACTGGAAAACTGTTTGCTTTCATTCTCGTGGCATGGCTTGGGGGGTTTTGTGGTTTTTTTTTCTTATGCTTGCTTTTGGGAAGAGGATTGTTTTCTTCCCTCAGAAAAGAAGTCAGAGTGTTTTTTGTTTAGGTTGAGTGACTACCAAAACAATGGCAATATGTTGTTTCACTGATCTCGTCCTTCTGCAATTGCGTCTACCTCAGGTCATTACTACAGCAGAATGGTTTGTGCAGGCAAAACTTAAGAGTTTTAGAGAAGCCATATAACCGAATGAACACATTTGGTGCAGAAATCTTCATACTCTTCCTTTGTTTGTAACCAATTCCTTGGTTTATTAAACATGGGAAAAAAACACTAGTGAAATAAATCTAAAATGGCAACTTCATCAATACTTGAAACTGTCAGGCTCAACAACTAATGTTGACATTTGTTGTGAATTAAACTTTTAACCTTTTTCCTAATCTTCTTGTGGCACGGCATTTCCCCAGCCCTGATCTCTTCTGTCGCCAGCAGATTTCCATGTAGGTCAGGGTCAACTGAGGATGGGAGGAAATGGTGCCAGCAGCTCCAACTGCTGATCCTTGCACATAGCTCGCTCTAACATTACTCCAGCACAGGTTGCATCATCTTTTCCTGTCTTTCCTCCCATCCCACCCTTTCCCATCAAAAGTATCACCATCTTCAGCAGCACCTTTGCAAAGTAATGATAAGATGTGTCATTCACCACTGACGGGAGCTGGTCATACCTGTTCTTGCCCAAGTCCTTCCCCTGGATCATGGGAGGAGCCCAGTATTAGCAGTGCTGAGCCAACCAACTACCTACCTTCTAGCTGCCTTCACACATTTCTGTGTGCATCAAGAAGGTTTTGTCCTTCAAAAGATGAATTTTACTTTATTTTTCTTCTCTTTTTTTTTAATCCTTTGTCTTGCCTGTTATGCTAACCTCTACCTCTGAATGCCTTTTTCACTATTCACCTCTAACTGCTTAACCTGCTCTTTGTTACTTACTGCTCGCGCTTTCAATCTGGCTGTCCTCCCTTCTTCTGCCTTCAAAGTCTTTCTCTGAAAAATATACTGGGGTAGCCTGCTAATATCTAAACGTCTTCAGTTACATGTATGCCTTTCTCTTTTCCCTACTTTGCTTCTCATTTCTATCTTCATGTTTCTCTGCCTTCACTCCTTCTCTCCTTACATTCAGATTCTAAGTCATGTTGTACCTTCTGAAAAAAGACACTTCTGTGAACTGCAATGACATGACACTCCAGCATCTTACTGTAGCCCTTAATGCATCATAATAATGAGGAGAAGATAATATCTTCGTATTACACAGGGACAGATAAATTTCAGAGGACCAGATACTCAAAAGTATTTGTGTACTAACTTTTCCTGAGCACTAAGAATCTCATTTTCACAACCATTTCTGTTGGTAGCTATGCAGACTTGAGGAAGTCCTTTCATCCAGATATGGGTTCTGACCCAGACTTCCAGCACAGCCACAGAAGCAGTGGTATTCACATGAGAGAAGAGTGTGGGAAACGGGTATGAGCAGTAGGAAAGGAAAGGAGTTGTTCATGCCAGCAGTGCTGTCTAAGGACATGCTCACGAAATTAAGCCCAAGAAACTCTGAAGTTGTTTAAATCTCTGCTTGTGTATTTGTGTTAAGTATTCTTAGGTATGAACCCTCTTCCATCTGAGAGAAGAAAAATGTTCTTCACCATTGTACATTAGAGCAATGTGGCCTGTAGCAGAGCAATTTGCAATTACAGATGGACTTTTTCCAGCATTGGAAAAGTTCATCCAGCTTTTTTCAGCTCCATTCAAGCATGGAAAATCTCTCTTTGTATTATTTTTCCCTCTCTCTCTCTCTCTCTCTTTTTCACCCTTTTCTCAAATGAGGAGACTACTGTGAAAGATGAAATAAATCAGTTCCTGTGAGCTATGATTTCTGAGTTCTGTCTTGAGGTCACTAGTTTCAATACTCCTATCATCTCCCTTGTGTGTCAAGATCTGCAGATCTGAAGAGCGTTTGTTTCAAGTGACCCATTTTTTCCGAGGGGCTCTGCAGTGGCATCTGGATCTTCCTTCAGAAATCTGTACTCTTTGTAGTTGGAATTGCACAAATGGGCAAGTGTTTTCATTCTTTAAATAAACTTTGCAAATAGATACATAGACTTCCCTTACGGCTTTTCACTGAAGTATTCTTTTTAATTGCTTACTTACGTCTCAGAAATAGAGTTTTTAAAAGCTGAGAAAAGAAGTGGTGAAGTATTATACTATTCATTGCAATAAAACCAAATTCAACTTAATAATAAAGCAGTGCTTTCAACAAATATGTTATGTCAAAGAAGGGGAAAGGTTTGTCGTCTGTGGCTACAGAGCGTGCTCTTCTCAGGGCAACGGGAGCAGTTCTGCTGAACTGCTGAGATGCAGATGATTTCATGCATCAGGGGATATAGACAACACTGCTAACAGGAGCAGATTAGGGATACTCTGTATACTATTGAAAGAAGAAAAAACATAGAATCTCCTTATAGGAGGTCAGGTAGCTAAAATAATCAAGTCTTTTGTCATTAAGAATTGTTTCCAACAGGCCTGTGTGAAGGAATAAGTTGAATGGCATGTTACTACAGAGCTCTTACCAAAATTATGATTGAGTCCTAAACCATGTGACCTGCAAATTCAGAGCTTCACTAGGACTCCCTGTGCTTCAGCACTGTTGCTTTGTTGACCCTTGTCCTTGTAGTTTATTTTTGGGCAGAGACTTTGTCTCTTACTCTTTTATGGAAATTAGAGTAAAGACCATTTCACTTGAAAAGAAAGATGTCAAAACAAGATACTTCAGAATTTAAACAAATATACATTTTGAAAGAGCCAAGTCATTGAGCCAAATCCTTTCCAATGAAAAGATTCAGTTTCAACATCTTAGCTTTTTCCTGTAACTACTGTTTCATCAGAAAGGGCCTCAATCAACTCTATTTTGGCATATTTGCTTCTGTATTTATTGTTGTTTTCTCTTGGGTTCAGATCACTCAGTAAAGAAATCAACCATGACAGTGGAAACTGAATCCAGCAATGTGGACGACTCAAATCAGGAAGAAGAACCTGCCCAGCTTTTGGATGATGAAGCAAACAAAAACCTACCAGTCAAAGAGAAGACTTCCTGTTGCACTGGCTTGAAGGTTTGGTGCCTTATCAATATCACCACAAATTACTGTTGTCATGTATTAAGAACTGTTGTTCAAGATATGACATGACAGATTACTTCTTTCCTGTTCCCCCTATCTTTTCTGGAACTGGATGCAAACTGGAGGTACAGAGAAGGGTTGAATCTTGTCTTTGTCCTAAAGAAAATTAAAATTCCCAATTTAATATATTTGCTCTCAAGTTACTATAGGCAGAGCCCCTTTTAGAGAGAGATAGCACCCTCCAGTGGGAGACTTGAAGCATCCTGACATAGGTGGCTCTGGTATACTGTTGTCTGAGTGTTGCTATCACCACCCATTCTTGTAGGGCCAAAACGGAGTGAAGTAAGCTGTATTCCAGGACTTTTTTCTAATCCAGGACTCTAGGTCAAACAGTCCGCTGATTTCCACAAGCATCCAAGCTTTTAGGAGTGCACAAGAGGAACTGATGGAACAAAGCAAGTAAACTAATAAGAATTTTGCTTTCATGTTAAAGTCTTAGTATTTATTGCTTCTGTCTAGCTGCAAATACTACAAGGGCAAGATTTCTTTTGACAGTGCTGTGTTTGGTTTTATGTTTTGACTGCTTCTTCAGCCAGCTTCATCTCAGGTTAAATTCCATCGGTTCATTGACATTGCAATCAGGGATACATTTCTCTCTATAAAAAGATATGTAAAATAAAAGATTAATGGGAAGAAAAGGTAATTGCAAGCTTCTCAAACATCAAAAATAGTTTGTCTCAAGTATCAGGCAAAGGTTGTTATATTTTTTATTTTATATGACTCACATTTGCCACTCGTATACACCTGCAAAAATAGAATCTGATCTCTCTGGGAGACTCAGAGGACTAACTTTGCCATCATGTACGCAGGCAATGCTGCATGACTGTGGATCTATGTCTAACTTTATGGCAATTAGAGTTTAACAGACACAATACCTTGGATGTAATAAAAGACAAACTGTTATTCTCCCTCATCTTCCTACTAAATGTTTTGTGGTTTACCTGGGGGTTGCCTTTTCAAACCCAAAATACCCAAGTCATTTTTGTTTCTGTTTTCATGCTTATCAGCAGTTTGTAATTTCAGCTAAAACCCCTGAGAGCACGGCTGGCATAAGTCAAGAAAGGTGGTTCTCACAGGCTTCTTGGCAATCGAGCTCAGGAAATATAAAACATGTCAGGACAAAGGCCACACTTGTGAAATTTTTCTCTTTGTTATTAGACAAAAAGAGAATAAAAATGCCTATTTTCAAGCTTTTACTTCCAGAGTTGGCTTCATTCCTTAGAGTAAATAGTATTGCAAAGTCTGTATCTATATTTACTTTTACCCAGTGGGCAATAAGTCTATTTGGTTTTTAGACTATGTTGAAACAGTTGGATAATATTTAAACAATCTTAGTTTACCTTTTTATCAAATACCTCTTTATTTGCAAAAGCCACAAAGTGTGTTGGTGGAAACAGGTATAGAATTGTAAAGAATATTAAGCTTTTCCTTATGAGATATGTGGTATCCAGGCAAAATAGCCATGATCCACGTATTTCAAAATATATCATCTGAGACAGAGATGAACTCAATCAGTCTGTAGCACCTTCCACATACTGGGACATCATGATAAATTGCACAAAACCTTTATTTTGATGCCATGGCTATCTATATGTTTGAGTTAGAACCAGCTGTGAACTAGCCTAAAATATGTGACATGGCCCAAGCAGAAGGTAGTTTGGGTTAACATTAGTTTTAGGTTGTACTAGTATTAGTAAATCTATCCTGATTAGGTATCTTACCTCTGGCAAAATTTACATTTCTGCAACATCTAGAAATCCCACTACTGGGCCTCAGCATTTTGATAAATTTAACCTCAGGATGTCAGTAATGTAGGTAGTCCCCAGTGAGTTCTTTGCCAGATTTAAGTTCTACAATCCATAGGACTTCTGTTTTGGAAAACCTCTGGTCAGTGATGCAGGGAAGATCAGGTTTCTGGTCATTAAGATGGCTGTTGAAAACCTGAACCCTAAAGCAAGCAGCTGCTCTCAGTGCAACACCTCACACCAGCCCTCTCTGTAAGGGAAAACCAGAGCATGAGCAGACACTGCTGAGAGACCACCCTGGCGCTCCGTAGCATTAGGGTACGTGAAAATTCACACACAAGGCTGTCACTGCAATTTGAGTAATAAATGCATACCATGATGATGATTGTTCCGCACAGTTTTAAAGTTATTTAATCCCTCTGTGACCAGTTTCCCTGCCTCTGCCTCCCATTTTCTGTCTCAATCTTTCCTCAGGCATTTCTCGCTGCTTTATCACTCAGCTACTTGAGTAAAGCGTTGTCTGGTACCATTATGAAAAGCTCCATCACTCAGATTGAACGAAGGTTTGACTTGCCATCATCTACTGTTGGTTTCATCGATGGGAGCTTTGAGATGGGTAATTGATGTGCTGTAACATGCAGAAAACTGTTCAGAGAAATACAAGACACGGCATCTAGCACTAATATTGGTTCTTTGCCTTCCAGGTAACTTGCTGGTGATTGCATTTGTAAGCTACTTTGGAGCTAAACTTCATAGGCCCAGAGTAATAGCTATTGGATGCTTTACTATGGCTTTGGGAAGTTTTTTAACAGCAATGCCTCATTTCTTCATGGGATAGTAAGTACTAATCAAGATTAATTTAGATGACCTAACATTGGAATTAGATACTGCTTTCTGGTTTTTGAATGAAACTTGGTGCATAGATGTCTTAGATTTCCAAAGGCCTATAGAGCCTCACCTCAAAGTGCAATGAATCACGCTTGACACACACATCACTGTTCATTATATCGGGCTGGAAAAATATGGCTTCTCTGAAGTAAAAGTTCAATTTCTCAAAAAAATAGGAAAATCACAATGCTTTAATTTTCAGTCAGACTTGTTCAGAAAAGATGCAAAGGATGAAACGATTTAACAAAATCTACAAAATCATTAGAATTTATTTTTTTCAGGAGAAAATACTTACCTATGAAAATGTTATGAAATCTCAAGTTTCAAAGAAAGTATATTGTTCATTGAAAAATCTTCAACCATGCCACTATTGGTCTAATGAAATATGTACCCTTCCTGAAGGTCTAACTAATGTAAGAACAGCTTATTGGGAAAATTGGTGTTAACTTAAGAACATGGTACCGTTGGTTGCTAATCAGGATGTCAGGATCATGTAGGCAGGAAAGTCAAACCATTATGAAGCACAGTAAAACTATGAAAGATGTAGATTCCACCTATCTGACTTCCAGAATAAGTTGAAACTAGTGCTGGTTTAAACAGGACCTCAAATTTCTGAGCTGGTAACTTCATACTGAGTGACATCTCTACCTGAAATATGACTTTATTTGCAGTAACAGGTAATTCTTGTGTAAAAGCAGGGATTATAGTTTACTCGTTGAAGAAACCAGCCTACAAATGTGCTCATTAGAAGAAGTCCTGCTCCTTGAAAGAGGAAAACAGAGCCTTTTTTGCTCTGGCATATTTTTCTCTCCTGTGGCAAACAGCTGCTCCTCACACAAAGCAGCCTCTCAGCTTCATTCGGAGCCTGCAGATGGATCAGTGCTGGTAGAACTGGTATCAGGGTTTTCCCTGTTCCAAATGTACATGGCTGGTTAAACTGATTTTCCGTGGCTGGCTAAGCTAATTTTTATTCACCTTCTCCAGGGTCAGAGAATTAGTGCATGTTGCTTATATGTGATAAGGTTTCTAGCCATAGCTTTGATACAGTGACAGCATACAATAAGGCATATTTCTGTTACTCTCTTAAAAGTATAAGAATAATTTTAGGCACACTGTTGTAAAAAGAAAACCAAAGAATACTGTTTGTTGTGATGGTGGATCTTGCACTAGCATCAGACTTGTATTTCCCACTGCTTAAGCCAAACCATGTATCTTGCTCATCTGCACTGGGAAACTCACAGTTTCTCATGTACCTGTGCCTGAATTTTTAGGAGGACACTGTTCTGCACTGTATCTTCTGAGGAATGGTCTTTGCTTTAACCTGAAAAATAAGCCTGCCTGGTCTAACAGAGCCAGCCCTGTTCCTAGAAGCAGAATGTGTGCTTTATTGTGTTGTTTCCTTAAGCTAATTGTACTTTGCACCTTGGCAGGGCTTGTATCCAGGAAAAGGATCATGCTCAAGCAGCCAAACAGCTTCCAGCACCTGAACTGCTTGGCTGCCGCCCCGCAGCATTGCTCTGCTCCCTGTGAATACAGCTAAAGAGTATCTTAGCCATTAACTTTATTCACTTTCAGCTACACAGCAGCTCCTGCTAAAGCCGATGACAATTATCAGGCAAACAGATGCCTCCTGAGGATGACTTCTCCTTTCCTCACTCCTCTCCTCCCCAGCAGCCCCAAAATACATATCTATGAGTAGAAGGAGGACTCACACTCAAGACATTCTTCTTTTTCTCCTTAACTGTGGGATAAGCATAGGGAGCTCACTTGGACCTGACCCTACATTTTGGTACTGACAGTTCAATCCTACCTGAATTACTTTCAAAAGCCCTTTAGAATTTTACAGCTTAAAATGTTACGTCTTCTAGGCAAATGATTCTATCTTTTATTTGTTCTTCATTTCAGTGTTTTGGTTTTCCAAACTGTGCTTAAATAATCTTCTTTTTTTATTCCTTCAATAGCACTTTGTATTGATATTTAAACAAAGATACCTTTCTCCTCAGGGAATGAGCAGTCAAGTGGTTCCTGCCCTACTATGCTAGCATTCCCCTAGTGAACACTGCTTCTAAACCTACTATTGTGTGTTTTCAGTTATAAGTATGAGTCAGCATCACGAACAGTTTCATCAGCCAACTTAACTTCAAGCATAAATCCCTGTTCCCAACATCAAGATGTGAACAAAACCTTGGTGGAAGTCTCCCTGTCAGGTAAGGAGCTGTAAGTGCAAGTACAAATAGAGGAGGTAGTTTTATCCTTATTTGCAAGTGGATAAACCATTTCCCTATGCAAAATGCTCAGCTAGATTTCTAACTTCAGCTTCTACCTGTCTGGGACTTAAATGCACTTTGTGCATCTCATTTGGAGAAGAAACATCCAACAATCACAGATTTTAAGGAACCAGATCCCCAGTTTCCTATGTTCACACTTCCAAATTACAATAAAATCACCCTGACACTGAAGGGGATGCTGAGACTGTGTTTGAAGGGATTCACTTACCCAGGACCTGGAGTTGGGGAGGTGGAAGAGATACCATGACAGGGCATGAAACTGCACGGAGTTAATTGGAAATAAATGGAGATTTCTATGATCTTGCTTACAATATGGAATACAGTTGTTTTACATGTTGCTTTGCATGGGACATCAGTAGAGAAAGGACCAAGCTGTGACCCAGAAACCATCTCAAAGTGCTCACATTAAAGATATATGTTACGGGTCAGGTAATATATTTATGACAATATCAACCTGTCATTTTCTTTTTACAAGGGTGTTTTTTCTGATGGGTGATACTTACCCGTATTTTTAGAAATCAAATACAATGGAGCTGGAGGAAAGTATTATTAAAAGATTATTAAAAGGTATCGTGAGGTTGACAGCCTTTCATTAATCTTCCATAAGGAGAATGCTGTTAATAGCTTAAATACTAAACTACAATCATTTCGTGTGCTGACTTTCCTTTGATTTGTCACTGTTTCCCATTCAATTATTCTGTCACAAAGACGTAAACTCTCACCTGCAGGGTGTGAGAAGGAACCATCATCACATATGTGGATATATATCTTACTGGGAAACATGTTACGTGGAATTGGTGAGACACCAATAACACCTTTGGGCATCTCTTACCTTGATGATTTTGCTAAAGAAGAGGATGTTCCTGTGTATGTAGGTAATCTCAGCATGAAGTAAACTGGGAGATTCGCAGCATAAGAGATCAATCACCCTCTGTGGAAGAAAACATTCAGCCATTAAAATATACTGTATCTGCTTCATTATATTTTCAGCATGTTTGCACACAATAGCCATGTTGGGCCCAATGTTTGGTTTCCTGTTGGGATCTTTATGTGCAAAACTGTACGTGGATGTTGGATTTGTGGATTTAGGTAAGAAAAACAGAGGAAAAGTGAAAGTAAACTAATGCTTGTTCATAACAAGTTGCACACAGTTGCATACATTTTTATATTAATATATGTTTAATTTATATTGATTTCATTAATTTTACTGTGTACTTTATTACAATTCTACTAAATTACTGGAAGCTTCTCTGGTACAGGGAGAATTAGACAGGAAACATATTTTAGAATTGTGTTTTAGGATTAGAGGATTAAAATACATATTTTATTTTAAAAGTTAGTACCAAGAACTCTCACAGACCCAACATCTTTTACTGAACTGGGATCTTAGTGAAAGGATTCTACTGGCATAGCAATTTCACAGTTTTGATGGATTACCCATCCTTTCAGCTGAGCATTTTACATAACTTACAATTCATGCAAGATTTGCAGTACATTATACTCTTTTTGGCAGCCCTTGCTTTTCCAGATGAAAAGAAAACAGATGTCTGTATTTACATCTGCAAAATGCCAGAGGGGACAGAGCAACCCCTGTAAGTGATGGCTGTGATCTTTCATCCTGTTGCCTTTCACTGGAAGAGGCAGGAGCCATCTCTGAGGTGGTGTTGTGTGGCCAGCCCACCTCCCCACTGGACCAGCCTGATGCAGAGTCAGGCAGTATGGACTCATGACATCTTTTTCAGTAAAAGGCCAAGTGTAGTGGCAGCAGTGGGTGATTCTGTTTTACTAGCAGGACAGAGAAGTTTTCAGATCTTCAGGATCCTGTAGTTAGATGGATGAACTATTTTATCTTTGCCCTTTGTTCCGCCAATGTTTGATTTTACTTAAGCATAAGGAAAGTGAGCCAATTCTGGTCATGCAGTGAAAAATCTTACAGTGTCGGTCCACCACCAAACATGCCAGCATGTAACAACCATAAAAATACAACCAGCTATTCTCATCTTCCTTGCAATACAAAGTTCAAAGTGATGGCTAATCTTGCCGATGCCACAAAGAATGCCCGTATGCTTAACAGCAACCTACACAATTCAGGCTAACAGAAGATGGTTTCAGTAGACATCTATCATCAGCCCTAAAAGGATCTCATGCTTGGGACCTGTCTGCCCCCCATTTTGGTTTCCCATGTGTTGGATAGGGACCTTGGTGTTGCCATGTATGCCACAAAACAACAATCAGCATAAGAAAGACAGATGAAATGTAACACCATTCAGGGTACGATTCCTGATGCCTTCACTGCATGAACGGTGTCTCATTAGATGATTATTGTTACCACTAGAAAGTCAGACATTGTAAAATGTAGCTATTTTAGCAGGTAAAGGGTGGGAAGTTTCAACTTCTTCAATTAGGTAACTTGTATCTGTTTCTCTCAATTCTAGGAAGCATCACTATCACCCCACAAGATTCCCGCTGGGTGGGTGCGTGGTGGCTTGGTTTTTTAATAGCTGGAGTAGCCAGTTTCCTAGCTGCTATTCCATTTTGCTTCCTGCCAAAGAGACTGAAAAAGCCAGATAACGACAAAACTTCGGACGGTCTCTTGGAAAAGACAGATGCCACAAGGACAAAACTTACTCCCGCAGAACCTAAGCCAAGGAAGGGGCCAGTGATACTGAAAGGCAAGTGTTTTGCATGTTATATAAATGTGAAAAGCAATAGGCACAACGTACAACAGGAATGTAACAGTTCTGCAAAATATTTTGCTTCTCCTGCACTTCAGTCTAAACCAGTTAGCTATCCCCAGGAAAGGAGAGGTCCACTAAAGATTATACAAAGTCAAAGAGCTTGTTCAAGGCTGTGAGGTTCTGCATGCATCACCTGCAATGCATCACCTGAGTAGCACCTACCTCTAATATTTTTTTCTATAAGAAATCTGAACAGTGGAAAAATTGTTTCTTTATCAGGACCTAAAGAAAATATTAGAAGGCTCTTTTTTGCATTGTGGAAAGCCAGATTATTCATTTGATCTTCACATAGCTCATGGAGACTCTGAAGCACATTGCTACCTGAGGAAAACAGAGCAGGCTTGAATATCAACTCTGTTTGTGTAGTCTTTAGGCTAAGAAAGGGGTGGGAAGGTTGTGGGAAGAGGCTTTGCGTCATTAGTCAAATTCTTGTGCCTTTGTTCAGATCCCAGTGGAAGACATTGGGCATCTCCAGAAAGGCAGCTGTCACTTAATATTCATGTAAACTGAAAAAAGTCTTTGCTGTGTGGAGCCCTTTGGTCTTCATGTGCAGATCTCACTACAGCACCCAGACCTTAACCTGTACTTCTGTCTTCTTTTAGGATTCTCTTCTTGTATGTCAGACTCTGGTGCTTTTCAAGAACCTAATTTTGCTTTCAGATACTCGCATGCAAAAGAAAATCAATACGACTTGCACTTGGAGAGCTGAGAGAAGGATTTCGCCCTACGTTTTGTAGATTGCTCACCAGTAACTATGCCATGCATCTTTCAAAACCAACTCATATATCCCTTTCTTTCAGATTTCTATACCTCCCTGAAAAAAGTACTGAGTAATCGAATGTACATTACATTTTTGTGTTGCTCACTGTTACAGTTCAGTAGCTTTATTGGTTTCATGACCTACAAACCAAAGTACTTGGAACAGCAGTATGGACAATCTGTATCTAAATCTAACTTTTTAATAGGTGAGTTACACCGTGCAATGGCTGTTTACACTATAAGCAGTGCATGGGGATAAGTTCTGGCATGCTTTTTCTAGAACTGAACTCCTTGCAGAACAGGCTGATGTAAATGGTGGTCTCTCCTGAACCTGAATTACACAAAGGAAGCATGCAAGCTACAGTTTTGGTGCCTATGCGACCAGAATAAATTATTACATTATATTATGTTATGTTATATT